GTGAGTGATGAGTAAAGTCACGAGAGTGGGTGCTTTGTGATCCCCAGCCGTGCCTCCAGTCAGATGAGGCCGTGACCGTCACGTACAGTGGAACATTAGGTTCCAGCGGTGCCTCCGGTAAGTAGGGGTTGTGACATTTGAGAGATAGAGAGAAAGCATGTACACTCACATGGCCAAATGTTCCGAATCCATGCATAACCGAATCCGATCGGTACAGAAATGAGTAAAAGTCACGTAGAGCGGGAGAGTTCCCGGTCGTGCCTCCAGTAAGATGAGGTCGTGATATTCCCATGAGTAGAATGGGAAACAGAGAAATAGAAAGAACAGAAAGAGAAAATGAATAGAGTCATGGAGAGTGGGTTAAGTTCCCAGCCGTGCCTCCGGTAAGATGAGGCCGTGACACACACCAAAGAGTATATAGAAAAGAGTATGAGAAACAGAAACAGAAAGGGAATAGGAATGAGAAGAGAAGAGAGTAAGGAAAGAATTAAGAGAAAGAGTTACGGGGATAGACAAGTAGAGGATTTACTTATTGAGCATTATTTTGCTCACCCCGTTGTTTTTTTATGTTTTTGCAGGTTCTAGATGAGGACGCAGTCGGATGGATGTCAGCGAGCGAGGAGGAGTAGTTACACTGTCCACCACACTTTTGAGTACTTTTATAAAAGATACTGACTTTTGTAAAAGAATATGTACATTCAATAAAAGAAAAATTTGGGTCCAACTATTTTATTAATGTACTCGTATTCTATTATACATATTTTTGTATGAGTATAGTAGTATCAAGCAGTTGTTACAATGTGGCTGCCTCTGACTAGCTACGAATCTACCTAAACTCTGACTTTTTATGTTGACTGGGTCTTGCGTCAGCCCTGCTTTTTCAAGCATAACAAAATCATTGGAATCAAATGCATTACTGCCGCCAAGGGAATTGACACATGTTGATTAAACCTTTGTGTTCTCGACAGTCGTGGTAGAATTACATAAAAGATAATATTATATAGTTGTTAGGTTTATGATACATTCAATAAAGAGACTTGTCTAGGCGTTATTTTCTGTCCAAATTACTTTTACTGTAAGTCTATAACCACTTGGTCATATTAGGTATAGAAAAGCCACCCAACGCTACAATGTCAAATATTACGAGCTGAAATTAAAATTTGTTTTTTCATCTTCCATAAATATATGTTATTGATTCCATACATATGTATATGAAGTAACAGTCTTTTAATTATGACCTAATATCCTGGAGTCAGCTTTGAAATGCTATATTGTAAATCTGATTTCATATTTTCTGAATGCGTTGTTTAATAATTAAAACCAGCATAAAATCTTCCAAGATTAGAATATATAGGTTTTCATATATAGAAATCTTAAGGCTATGTAAATCTGATTTCATATTTTCTGAATGCGTTGTTTAATAATTAAAATCTTCCAAGATTAGAATATATAGGTTTTCATATGTAGAAATCTTAAGAGTAGGTAGCACTATAGAATGATTCAAACATAAGAGAATAGAATATTATAGGATCAAAATGCTGTTAGAATTAGAAAGTTGAATTGCATGCATATATATATTGTTATGCCTGGAAAAGTAGGGCTGACGCAGAGCTCTGTCAGCGCAAGTGGTCAAAGCTTAGATAAGTCCAATAGCCATTCAGACGCAGCCACGTCGCACGCTGATGCAAGCGGCATGCTCCTACTAGTGCAATAGGTGTGCGCCAGGCTGGTGAAAGGCTGAAGGCGATCCACGTGTCCAATCCCTGCAAGAGTCAAGTAAATCACTCGAGCAGATGAATAACGAGACGCAAGGAAAGATTTACACGACAATCTGACTCACTCCCTGATTTAGTAATCATTACCTCAATTCATCATACTATAAATAGAGCGCTCCTCTCCCATTTGTGGGATTAGCTAATTTCTCTCTGGAATAACATATATTCTCTCTCTCTCTCTCTTGTAATCTCTTGTAAATCAGCTCGTTGAATGCGACCTGATCAAATATATTAATACAATACCAGTGGACGTAGGAGTCGCTTATTTAAGCATCCGAACCACTTTAAACAGTATTCTTCTTCTTCTATTCAGTTCAATACCCCTATACACGTGTGTCTTCTGAGCCAGCTCAGCATGATCCACGTACGTTTAGTTGGTGTCAAAATCACGCATCAATATATATATATATATATTTCACATGACAAGTTGAATTATGATATTAGACGTGAAATTTAATTAAAAAGAAGAAGATGTTCTTGTTATCATTTGGAGTTAAATAATAAAAATGTTCACAGCTACAAGGAAGCTTTATTATAATGGTATTTACTATTTTATTTCTCCAATTTCCATAGCTGACCAGTTTGTCTGTAACCTTGGATGCAAAGTATAAAGTAATTAATTAAGCTATTAAATTTGTTGGTTAATAGGGAAATTATTATATGCGTAGACGAAAACTCAGTCAATTAATAAAGGAAAAAATTTGTAATACTAGTCAATGGGTCTAATAAATATTAAATTGAATGTAGTTTATAATTAATCTGAAGTTATCGGTTAGGTAATGAGATGGATAAGTTTATGAGAAGGTTTGCATGTGCCTGGACCACCAGTTAATTACATTAGGGTTTAATTTATTTTCACAACTACTGTCTCTGCCAAAATTCTTCTTAATTAACTTCACCAATTATCAATTGTCATCAAATCTACTTTGATATATATGGATAAGTCGTGATCAAATGCTTTAGATTGGTTTCTTACATTGATTTTTTTTTTTTTTTTTAATGATGATGTTTGAGTCAATCGATGCACACCTCAATTAATTCTTCAGGATTCTGAAATTATCGATGAGATAAAAGCTCTAATGACTATCCCTAATAGCAACGAAGAGTGATTCCAATTCAAGACATTTTGAGTAATATACCCAAGAATTCTTATTGAACCACTCGACCACCCGAAGATCATTAGGTTTGTTACATTGTTTTTGCCCACCTTAACTAATCTTTCAGGATTTTGAAACTATTGGTTGGATAAAAACTTTAATGGCTACCCCTATTAGCACTTAAAGAGGAATTTGAACTCAAGATTTCTTGAGTAATACACCCAAGGGTTAAGAGTCTTTATTGAACCACTCGACTATCTAAAGATAGTTAGGTTACATTGATGTTACAGTAAAGTTTTAATTTATTTCACCATTAACCAAGCAAAAATCCAAATAAAAACATCACCAATCATCAGCTAATTATTTAAAAAGAAAGGTTAGTGTAAATAATCAATTCAAAACTATTCATATTTTTTAGTTTATCATTCTCTTATCTTTATTAATTTAAAACATATCAGAGTTTGGACTTCTCATAATAAATAAGTATTGCATAAAGAGAGAAACAATAATTTATTCTGTGACCAGTTCCCCTTTGATAATTAATTTTTATTGATAAATAAATTTATTCTCGAAGTATCTCTTTGTCTTCGTTGCTTAGCGATAGTTTATTTATTGTATACGAAAGAAAGGACAATTATATAATTAATTTTTGTTATTAATTTTTCAACTTTGGAAGTGACTCAACATGTTGGTGATTAATTAAATTTTAGTAATATCTAAAAAGGACAGAAGGATCGATATGATAACTGTGACGGTTCAATAAAATATACCCAGTTTAGCCGTCTACACAATTGGAGGTTTTGATGTGTCCAAAATTCATTTGATTTCATGATACTAACCCAAAATTCATAATATTAAAAACAAATTAATTGAATTAGATGATTGAAACAAAACTGTGACACAACATTCACGCCATACCGTTAATCAATTATATGATTAGTAAACGAGTTTTATGGTAAGCATTGAATAAACTATACTGTAAGAATGATGATGCAACTGCAACCCTAATTGTCTCTTAATTTGTGAATATGAAAGAAAGTTTATGATTGCACTGGCAAAATCCAAATTGTAACTGCGTCATTAGAGTAAGACAATATTATCTAAGTAACTTTCTCTGGGTGGTCGAATGGTTCGATAAGAACTCTTAGGTGTATTATTCAAGAGGTCTTGAGTTTGAATCCCTTCTTGGTTGTTAATAAGGGTAATCCCTAAGATCTTATCCGGTCGATAATTTCAGAGTCTTAGAGGATTAGTTAAGGTATGAATAAACTGGTTGGATACCCCAAATTATCAAATATATATATATATATATATATATATATATAATCCCGGTAAAATTTTTGGTATTTCAATTTGCTTTGATGGATATAGACATATTCTAAGATTCGTTATCAGTTAATTAATTAAAAGTGGGAACAAAAACAATAAATAAAGTTGAGGTCAATTAATACAGAAACTTCGAATGTCAACTGATATTATTATAAAGCAACAGTCGCTCTCAACAAAAATCAAATACACTTTTCAATGCTATCGTATGTGAATACGACAGTATAATTTATATTGGTGTATAAATATACGTGTATGGCTACCTTATATGTACTCACTATTTTATAATCTGCATTGACTATGACTCTGAAAATCTACTGTCGGCTGCATGAACAAATCATAACAAGCCTTTTTATTTGTTTTTTCTTTAATTATTATTGAGTTTGTTTCCAAATTATTCAATAAAATTCATGTGTACGCTATCTACTTCAATTTGTCAAACCTTTCAATAGTCAGATTAAGGCATGACGATTGATAATATTCCTCTTCTAGTTAACATAATAATAATATTGCCCTGCCCTTTCTATATAAGTAAAACAAATAAAACACGAGAGAATAAATTATGAAGAAAAATAAAAAAATTCTGCTACCTGGCTTATACTTTATATATGTTCTTTTTTATCTGTAAAAATAAAACCTAATTGAAGAACATTATACTTTTTTAAATGTAACGAGATTAGTTAATCAAAGTATTGATTTTATTTTTGAGCTTATCTTTAATTGAATTGGGTAATTAGGAGAACTATTAATAACCATTTACCAAAGTCTACGTTTCGAAGCACACAAGCCATGAATGAATCCATCATTCTCCATTGAATAGTACAGTCATGTTACAACAGCAACATGTAAGCTACAGTGATGTTACAATGGCGGCATAATCAGCACTGCCGAGAAAATTTTGCAAACAGACCATGCCTCCACCACAGCCCATCGTATCCACAACAGTGTAATTCCTCAACAACATTCTACCATTAATACTATCAAACAATTCATAGACTACGTAAGTCATGATATGGCTCTAAAAACTTGAAAAAAGACCAAGATTTACCCAAGAACCTAAGCTCAATCCAATAACATAATAAATAAAATAGTACCAAGTTACCAAATATAGATGATAGAGTTCGTCATAATGTTAATCTTCTGTCATCTGCATAACTTACGAAATCCACTTTTAACTGACTCAAATGTCTGTCATGAAGAACTGTTAAGGTATAAATATCAGCTCTTGGAATTCATGCATTTATAGCTCTTTGAATCTAAACAGTACCATGCAGGTGAGAGCTCTTGAAATCCGTATGCTTAAGTCATGTGGTAATCATATTGAACTGGAATCTAGAAAGCTGCTGAGGAATGGTTGATATCACTGGCCCGTATCTCTGCAAAAAATAAGTGCAGTGACTTGTTAAAAAACTAGAAACAATAATGAATATTTCGTTTCATAATACTGAAAGAAGCAAGAGTAGGATGGAGATATCTGTGCCAATCAAATTCAAGAAATTAGAGGTAGGTTTTCAAAAAGCGGGGAAAATTACAATTGAAGGAGCTAAGATAATGCACTGGAGGTATTTCAGAACAGATTCCTATCTTCGCCTATGAATCCCATATTGTGCATCCAGTACTTCCCATTCACCTCATGGGTGAATTTTCAATTCAACAAAGCTATTTTTAATTAAAACACTCATACCAAACAAAACAAGCAGTCTGAAGCTAAGCACTCGAAACTCATAATCAACAGAGCAAAATGCTGAGATAACATTAAGGTGGTAAACAGATGAATGGGCACATATTCTCCATACCTGGACATTATCATAGAGTTCAAACAATGGCACAGCAAGAAGTTTCAAATTTTTGGGCACTGCAAAGTACTCTCTCTCAGACAAGTGAACAAGGAAAAGCTTCTTACACTCCTGCATTACCAAAAAAGGGTAAAGAGATGAGAAGGGACAGGTGTAATCCACAAAATCAGCAACACCAAGAAAAATAAGATGAAGAATGATTCAAGATGCCTGCAACAGGTAAAATCAACAAGTCACTCCAACCACAAATTACCTTGGGTTTTGTAATGTGGGGAGGGCAATATGGATACATTATGGTTTCAAAGTTTGGCCTCCACCAGATTGCAACACATTCACCAATCTGAAACAAGAAGACAACAAAAGGATGAGGACTAATGAAATAATATTCCAAACTTCAAAATTATCCTGCAAACTTTAGAAAAAGCTTTATAATTACAGCCATCACATTCCTAGTTGAAATAAATGTGTTCTATCAAGCTTTTTTACGATAACATACTCGTCCAAAGTGATAATTTCTTAGACTTTACCATTGAGATTGATCTAAACTATCTTGAGTCTATGCTAAACTAATGAAAACTAAAACAGGATAGAATACCTGCCAGTCTGGCACAAGAGCAGGTGAATTGGCACCAAGCTTGCTGGTCAGCTTCCTTTTCAACCCCTCAATTTCTGCCAAAAAAGTGAAGGTATAGACATAAACCAGAAAATATTTCTGAGCAAACAAATACAAAAAGAACACTCAAGCACATGACAGAAATACAAAAGATCTCTATGACCTTTAAAAAAGCAAATGACTATACCATTCTCTCCTGGCTTCAGACGCCCACCAGGAAGTTTGCAGAATGTGTTTCCAATCTGCAGAAGAAGTATGTGGGGATGATTATGTTCCTGAACCTGCATGACACAACAGCATGCTAAGGCTAGTGAAAGAAGGAAGCTAGTTGACATGTCAGTAAAAATGTTATTATAAGGCAAATTTTTAGCAAAAGCAAGGGATGGCAAGGTAACAAATCAAATAACTAAACATTAACAAATCATTCATATATAGCAAGAGAAATTTCCATCTGCAGACTTCTAAATTGATAAACATAACAGCAATCAAAAAAACATATTTTCCCTTCCACTAAATTGGGATGCAGTCAAAAGACTTTCAACATACGGCTCCTTGCAGGCCATATTACTGTTCCTACTTTTAGCAAGTTCCGCTCAATGAACAAATTATATAACTCAAACCCTTATAAATCCACTGGTCACAGTTGTAATTTTCCATAAGATTCACTACCTTTATCATGTGCAGATATATTCTTATGAAGTAGAGAAATAGCTAAGAAGATAAAGAAAAATGTATCTAATTTCTTGCAGAAAACTTAGCAAGTTTAAGCTAGTAAGATATTTCAATGGTTCTAGGAGATCCAATAATAAAATCAAAATTATCTGCACAAAGCTGCATTTTGGGGAGAAAATAATTGCTACAAACCATAAACTGCAAGTTCATATCATGCTGATCAAGCCAACCCGACACCCCTTACGAGTGAGCCCACCCAACTCACTTTAGTACAATAAAGGTGAACCAATCCTGAGGCTTGAACAAATTAGACCTTATTATGCATCCATTTTGAGCTATTGCTACCAAAGCAAAACCCATTAAATCTAAATTTTTAAATGAAATTGTCACCAATATTTACTGCATGGACAGTATATTGAAGGACAAACATGTAATAATAACCATGTTAGAACCATTATTTTCAGTGAAACAATGACAAACTACCTGATAACATTCAAAAACTTTGTAAATACATATCTTGAAATGAATAAGAGACCATAAAGGAGAATGTTGTAGCACAGAACAATTAAAGCAAAGATAATAGCAAACTAAGAAGATAAATTTCAGAAAAACTGATTCACCATTAATAAAACTGCACTTTTCCTACTACACTCTCACACTAGAAAGCATTTAAAAGTTACAGAGCATATAAAAAAACTGCTTAAAAACTGAACATAAACTGAACAATAACCGTAAAAAACTAACAGCAACTTTGCCACCTTGGCATCACTTTTTGGTTACAGTAGTTTTTAGATGCACATCTACAACACTCCTCCTTGCATCTAAGCTGCTGCAAACCCCTAACTTCAGTCTCAAAAATTCAAATCTGATCTTGGACAACGCTTTTGTGAATATATCAGCTACCTGATCTTCAGACTTACAATATTTAAGTTGAACCAACCGTTCCTTTTGCACATCTCTAAGAAAATAGAGTTTTATTTTGAAGTGCTGAGTTCTACCATAAAACACAGGATTATTAGAGATGGCAATGGCAGCTTGATTATCCACAAACACTTGAATGGCTTCTTCTTGCATCATATCTAAATCAGCTAACACTTTTCTAAACCATAAAGCTTGGTTTACTGCTGCTGTAGCTGCTACATATTCAGCCTCTGCAGTACTTTGTGCAACAAGTTCTTGCTTCTTTGACCAAGAGAACACTCCCAAACCAAAACTAAAACAAAAACCTGTTGTACTCCTCATGTCATCTACTGAGCCTGCCCAATCACTATCACAAAATCCATGAAACTTAAAATTTTGACAATAGGAAAATCAGGTACCATAATCAATTGTGCCTTTAATATATCTGACAACTCTTTTTGCTGCCTGTAGATGTACCTCACTAGCACAATGCAAGAACCTGGATAACAAACTCACTGCATACATTATATCATGCCTTGTTGCAGTGAGATACATTAAACACCCAATCAAGCTCCTATACAGCCCCTCATCAACCTTTTCAGCTCCATCTTCCTTGCTGAATTTTTCTTTAGGATTCATAGGAGTATTTGTAGCCTTACACTCACTCATCTGAAACTTATTAAGAATCTCCTTAGCATACTTTTGTTGGCATACAAAAATCTCCTCCTGGCTTTGTTTCACCTCCATCCCAAGAAAAAAAGTCATTCTCCCAAGATCAGTCATCTCAAAAACCTTCAACATTTCAACTTTAAACTCATTGATAAGCATCTCAATACCTCCTGTCACAAGCAAATCATCAACATAAATGGCTACAACAAGTATATCAGCAACTTCATTCCTCACCTTCTTTACATACAAAGTCGTCTCACTAGGACTCTTCACAGATCCTAGTCTCAATAGATGTTCATCAATCCTCCTATACCAAGTTCTTGGAGCTTGTTTAAGCCCATAGAGAGCTTTCTTCAACAAATATACATGACTCTCATACCCCTTTTTAACAAACCCTTCAGGTTGCTCTGATACCAATTTGTTGTAGCACAGAACAATTAAAGCAAAGATAATAGCAAATTAAGAAGATAAATTGCAGAAAAACTGATTCACCACCAATAAAACCGCACTTTTCCTACTACACTCTCACAATAGAAGGCATTTAAAAGTTACAGAGCATATAAAAAAACTGCAAAACAACTGCTTAAAAACTGAACAATAACCGTAAAAAACTAACAGCAACTTTGCCACCTTGGCATCACTTTTTGGTTGCAGTAGTATTTAGATTCACATCTACAACAGAGGAAAACATGTAGAACAAGGAAAAGATGCATTTATGGATCCGAGAACTCAAACCAATTTAAATTTAAAACAAGAAGACAGAATCCCGCTCTAAAAGAACCTATAAAACTGAGTAGTGCTAATTTCTCCCCTTTGAAAACCATTATTTTCAGTGAAACAATTTCAAACTATCTTGATAACTTTCAAAACTTTGTAAATATATATCTTGAAATGAATAAGAGACCATACAGGAGAAAAATATGTAGAACAAGGAGTAGATGCATTTGTGGAACAGAGAAATCACACCAATTTAACTTTAAAACAAGATGACAGAATCCCTCCATCAAAGATCCTATATCAATGAGTAGCACTAATTTCTCCCCTTTCAGTATGGCTCTTAGATGAGACCACAATCAACCAATGCCAAGTAGAACACCAGGACTGTAATTACAGAAAAATTTGCAGGTTGTACAAACTTCTCCTTCCTCATCTAGATGAATCATATGTAGTCCACAATCCATATTGTCTTTCATCAGAATTACATGGCATATTCAAGAACATACAAAATTATTGCACATTGTGGTAATGAATTATACAAGGAAATACAGAAAGATATGAAAATGATAGATACGAAAAAAAGTTACCTCATACTCTTAAAAAAATAATAGCAATAATAAAAGCAACTATGATGAAAACTGAGTACATCAATTAGATTTATAACATAATGCATTCCAAGGCTAAAATCAATGCGTACACAGAAAGAGATGATGACAAGGAAGGGTCAAGTACCATTTAACTGATATCTTAGTTGCTTTTGTCATCTTACATGTGATGAAAACTCAATAAGTGATTCAACATGCCAACGTCAAACATTAACAGCACTCATAGGCCAAAAGAAAATCTAGACTGTACAAAATACAAACTATCACCATGACTAACAAAAGTTAACCATCGTAAAAGGATCTCTTGCAATGGAATTACAGCACAAAGTTGTTAAACGTAACTCAAACAAACATACCAATAAAATTGCTTCCACACTTGTCCTCATGCCTTCTTTCATATAACTGCAACCCACGTTAAAAAGCAATTATCATATTGTAGGGGCATTACACAAAAAAATCAATTCAAAACATACAATTACACAAATTCTCTGAATCAAAACCTAATTTATTTTATTTTTTCCACACTTAAAACTACAGGGGCAGAGCTCAGTCAATTTTCAAAAAGTATTTTTAGTATTTCAAGTTTTACAATTTAAAGTAAAACTACAATACGCAGAAAAATAACAATTTTTTTGCAAATTTTCCAAACTCTCTCTCAAAGAACAAGCAAGAGTATTTTCTCTAAATGACGAAGAATGTGCATAAACTAGGGTTTTATTTCCGACTCTTGGATCCTTTCACTAAGCCAACGGTTGACACAGAGATAGCTACCGATCAATTAAACGTTAAAGCTAGGGTTAGTTTAAACAACGCATGAATCGTTTGAAACAAGGAAATTAACCTTACAGAGTTAGGTTAAATTAAGTTGAGCAGAGGTTTATCTAGGGTTTTTGCGACAAAGAAACTATTAATTTAAAAAATATAAATTAAAAAAATAAAAACAAAAATCATACTTGACTTTCATGCGAGCTAGACGATCAGCGACGGAGGTGTCCTTCTCCATCTTCGGCTCCTTCGTCCCAAATGTGTAGCTCGACAGTGGATACGTGTTCACGACCGGTGACGTCACCATCTTTCTCTTTCTCCCTCTCTGAAAATTTTGTATCAACCTCTCCACCCCCACTCCTCTTTCTTGATCAGTCAAGAGTTAGTGTTGCCGCGGCCGTGCTGGTTTTTTAATTTCGAAAGGGTTTTTTTCCTTCTTTTACATGCGCGGCCGACCCGTAACCCATTTATTAGTCCTTTTTTAATGTATAGCGTGATTTAAATATATTTAAAAGACTTACTTTTTAATTTTTAATCTCTAAAAAGGTGTTTAATAAATATTCAAAAACTATTTTTGAGAAAAAAAAAAATAGTTTTCTCTAATGTTATATTTTATTTTTTATTTTATAATTGTTTGAAGAATTTTTTTGTCAAACCAAATAATTTTTTAATTCTTTATGCTGTAATATTAGAAAATAATAGTCATGTGCTCATTGTTAGGGTCAAAAATCGTCATCGGCCCAAATAGGAAAACGGGTCTGACAATGAGGAAAAGACCAGGCCCAATCCCGATGCGACCCAATCCAAAACTCACCGGATTAGGCCCATTTGATACAAGGTACAGTTGGCCCAAACCGTCCAGACACAAGCCTCTTAGTCCTAGTTCACTTCCCGGATCTATGAACGAATTCAGAGCCCATGGTCACCTACAGATCACATTCCTATTCGCACGCTGGTAAAGTAGTCCACTACAACCCCAACTCCTCCAAGGTTCGTGTCAGAGTCATACTTGGACTCCCTTGTACGCCAGGATAAGCGGATTAAAGGATATATCCCTGGAGGAAACGGATTGCTACGAGAACTCCCAATCACCAGACAGTCACTATTTAAACAAGAGGCCATCCCTCTCACAAGGCAGATTACACTACACCTTCAGACCCCGGAGTTTTAGCTTGAAACTTCACATCACAGCCGTAGTCACAGTCTCTGACTAGACTTCTAGTAACATTTCTACTCTTTAGCCCTCACTAAATCAGCCTTTTTCAGCCTTGCTGATTTGAGCGTCGTAGTGCCTACAGCAAACACCAGCTCGATGTTTTCTGTCGCTTCACATTTGTTTCTCTTACGTGTGCAGGTACAACAGATCGCTAGTGGCTTCAACCTCACGGGATCAATCCCTCCTTCCGTATAGGTAGATTTTTACGTCTACATTCATGATAGCTAAACACCTAATTTGTGATTTTGGATTACAAATTCATATGATGTTTAAGGTGATCAACTTTGAATGCTTATACATTTTTTTTATAATAAAAATGATAAAGGTTGGAATTTGATAAAAATAAAAACTAAGTAATTTTATGTAAAGTTGTTCTTGACATGAATTTGTATGTTCGACTCGAACTCTAATGACTTGAAATGAATTTCATTTAAAAAAGAGCAAACGACTTTTCCCACCCAAGGTATCCCTTAATGACATTTTCCTACCCAAAAAGTTTCAAAATATCACTTCCTCACCCAAAGTTAATATACTACTAAAAGTCAATTGCGGGGACGAAAATTCTCTCTGTCACCACCATTTGAACCTTTGGTCTCTTCTCTACAAAACCCCTCTCAGCCTGTTGCACCTAATTTCTCATCTATTGTCAGCCACTGTAAAATTAGAGTTTCTTATTCTTAATTGATTTTCGACTGATTTTCGTGGCGAATATTCAATCGGTCACCACCATTCGATCCACCGGCTTCCACAATAAAAAACCTCTCTTACCCTGTCTCTTGGAAACTCGCTGAACATTGGCTGAGAAAGCAAAATGTATTTGGGGTATTAACGAAATATAAACTTTTGGTGGAAAAGTGGTATTTTGAAATTTTTTGGGTGGTAAGGTTCATTAAGGCAAAGCTTGGGTGAGAAAAAGTAGTTTACTCTTTTAAAAATAATACATACACAAAGCATCATTAAATGGATAGCATTTCAAAATAGTTACAATTTAATTGAAAATTGAGATCAATTTCATGGCATCAATTAAAATATCTGTTTTTTAAAATTGAATTAAAGGTAGAATAGTATAGGTTAAAAATTAAACCATGTCTTAATTTGTCAATTGAGATGCATGTGTAAAGGAATTAGGACATAAAAGAAAGCTCCCAACATCACCACGATAATGTCCTTATAAACTTAAATAAAAAAAAAATCACTCCAACAATTTAGACCAACAAGGTTAAAAGAAATATAATAGTAAGTAGTAGCATATTACTTGTCCCATCTTAAATTTTGCATTTATATCAGTAACATGATAATGTTATCTAATTGGTTAATAGAAATTTGGCATGTTTTTGGAATATATCATAGGGAATAATGACAATTTCCCACCCAAACTAAGTCATAAGTAATCTGACACCGGGAATGTTTTAAAGAAACAATTTTTTACCCATCGTTAAAATTCAAAAGTTAGTTTTAATGGCAGAAGGGCATTATTGTTTGATTGCCCAATATATATTATAGGGTTAATATTATTTACACTCCTAAATTACAAACACATAAAGATTACCTTCACCAACTTGGGAATTAGTCATTTAAATCCCTATATTCAATTTCATTTTTTTTTATTTTAATTTTTAAAAAAATCCGTGAAGAATAAAAACTAGTTGGCGTGTATGTCGGCCAACCGCCGTCAACAAGATTTGGGTTTAGCCTATGGTGACGAGTCCAACCACATTGTTGGTGCTGTTGGATCTATCCAATTGTGTAAATGAGGAGTCCTTTAGTGAAGTCGTTTTCCGACAACCATCGTCAGCAAGATCTATGTTCAATCGTGGGATGAGAGTACGACCACTCCATTGGTGTCGTTGGATAGATCGACCAACGATCTATCCAACGCTGTAAACCAGGAGTCCCTTGGTGAAGCCATTTTTTGACAACCGCCATCGGTACGATCTTGGGTCAGTCGTCGACTACAAGTCTTGCCACACTGTTGATGTCCTTGGATAGATCAGTCGTCGATCTACCCAACAATGTAAATGAGGAGTCCCTCGATGAAGCTGTTTTGTCGAAAAAGGACGTTGAAGAGTATTTCACAAAATAGTCTCCAATGTTTTTCGAGGAATAGCCATCACTAGTGGTTTCCCTGCTTGTGCCGTTGGATAGATTGTCCAACGATCTACCCAATAGCATCGATTGTGTCGCCGACAACCTACAAGTCCATGGTTCATTTTAAATAACTAAGCAATTGCGGTCAAATGAATTTATTTGACTTTTGAAATCTTTATATTGTACGAAACAACACTCCTATATTTAATTATATTCTTCATAGATGCATGGTTCGGGAATCCTCTTTTCGATTATGAAAAACAACCCCAAAGGGATGTAATTAATTGTCAGCTCTCCTCTTTTATTTAAGTAGGATTTTCATTTTTTTTTCCTAAAGGCCGTACCACGTATGACTGGATTTTAAGAAGAGTAAAGACATGTTCCTGCCCAAGGTTTGGCCTAAGGACAGTTCTCACCCGAAAATTTTTAAAATGATGGCTTCGTTTGGTTGGATTTTGGGAATACTACTTTTAGTATTCCCAAAAAAGTTAAACAGTAAAATACCCAAAAACTTACAATATTATTCAACTTTATTCAATATTTTTTAAACCCCCTAAATTTGTTAATTCAATTAAATACCCCTAAATATTTTTAATGTTTTTTTTACGGCGACTCCGTCCACCCTCCGGCGGTGGTGGCCAGCTGTCCGTATTTGAGGGTGGATTGGAGGTGTTTTTGTTAACTTTTAATATTTTATTATAAGGGGTGTTTTGTAAAAAAACAAATATAGGGGGTATTTTAAATTTGTAAATCCTACATCGTATTACCCGCCCAATTCAACTTTTTTTTAACTTTTTTCAAAAAACTTTTCCCAAAAACACAAAATTGTGAACCAAACGGAGCCGACATTTTCCCATCCATCCATCCAATTTTTCCGCTATTTTTAACGGTATAAGGACATAATGGTAATTTTAGAAAACAATTAAAGGATAGTTATGTCATTTAACCCCAATATAAAGTTGAAAAACAAAAACCTAATTTTTTCTTTTCTTCTCTCTTTTTTTTTTTTTGTTTCCTTCTTTCTCCTTCTTCTCACACTATTTATAGACGTGGATTTTTCTGCATCTCTTGTCTCCTTTGTTTCTTTCTATTCAATTTCAATGCTTTTCTTCTTCATCTCCAGTTGCCTCCCCTCCTTCATAGATATCACTCATTCTCCATTGCATCTCTCCTGCCTCTCATTCTTCCCAAATTCCCCCCAAATACCTCTCCTTTCTTTCAAGTTTTTTTCGTCAAAACTAGTAATTGCACCACCACCTTTCAGTTTTATCTTCACATCCACTTCTCTCTCCTTCTTCGCTGCTAATCTTAACTTCCTTCCGTTGTTTCTGCAATATCTCGACAACCACCGGCGTTGAGGTGGATTCGGGAGGGGCAAGGCCATGATTTGGACTAAGGGAAAGGCCGGTGATGTGGTTGATTTTTGACTATGTTGAAGCCGTCGACAACGATGTTTGACTGAAAAAGCGGGAAACGTTTACCACTTTTGTGGCCAAATGTCGTCAACAATGGCTCCCCTCTTTACACTGTTGGATAGATCGACCTGAGATCTACCCAAAAGTGCCGGCGATGGCGTAGACGGTTATGAGAACCGCCAGCAGCAGTTGGCCAACAACCTCCCGACCAACTGCTTTTTTTTTTTTTTTTTACTTTTAAAATTTTTATTTATTTCTATAATTTTTGAAATATTTTAATATTTTAAAAGGTGATAAAGATTAAAATAAACTGAATCTACTATTGTATCCTTCAGCAGTTAAAAATAACGGAAAAATTGGATGGATGGGTGGAAACCTGTCATTTTGAAACTTTCGGGTGAAAACTTGTTTTTAAGCCAAACCTTGGGTGGGTAAAAGTCCTTTACTCTTTTAAGAAATAGATTATATATAGCGAGAGCAATATTTTCCCACCCAAGGTTTGGCGAAACGACACTTTCCTACCCTTCAAGTTTCAAAATGACACTTTTCCACCCCTCATTAGGTTTTGTTATGTTTTCAGTTAATATTTTACTGAAAAGATGAAAATACCCTTAAATGCTTGATTTTATAAATTTTTTATTATTTTTTAATTAGC